TCTCTCTCTCTCTCTCTCTCTCTCTCTCTCTCTCTCTCTCTCTCTCTCTCTCTCTCTCTCTCTCTCTCTCTCTCTCTCTCTCTCTCTTTTCTCTGAATCTGTCAGACAAGATTTATCATTCGTGTACAATATTATATGGAATGTCCAACCTTTGTCACAGCTTTGTACCGTTTTATATATATATGCATTGAAAACATTTTTTGTTCTTCGATATATTTATACGTTTCCCACTTTTCTCCCCCTTCCCCCCCTTTTCACTGAGCACTCAACTCAAATATATACTGTTCATTCCTCATGTAATGTGAAGGCTCGTGTTGCTTTTCCTGAGGAACTTGTCTCTCGATTCCGTCTGTCGTACTTATTGATATATATATCTCTGTTATTACTTCACTGCAGCTTCACTGGGACAGCCTGGCTTGGAGGTCTCCGAACTGGAAGCCAAGTTGCTTCGCATCGAACAGCTGCAAATCGAATTGGAGGTATGTATCTCACAACGCGTTACAAAGTCACCCTCGTCGCCAAATGTAGACTAAACGCAAATGTACTATTTTCCAGATAAAGAAATTGGAAGCGGAGGAAGTGTCTTACTACGTTCGAGAAATACCGAATAAACCGCCGCCTCCGTACACACCACCGGGAGACAGCCGATTGCCGAGTTCGCTTGGTTCGCCCTCGCTAGTGACCGCTGTGACTCCGACTAACGTCGAGGAACTGACGTTGTTCACGGAGAAAGCCACAACCCTGATATACAACGCCAAACTGGCTGGCGATGACATCGCGAGTCTGGAAGCGCCTCCCGAGATCTACGATTTGACCAAAGACAAGAACGAGGCTGTAAGAAAGGACAAACGGATTTACAACACCTTCCTCTTCGATCTCTGCAAGGAGACTATCGTCGAGGTTTATCGAGCGGAGTACGAGAAACCTGGCCCGAGCTGGACGAAGCCGAACGTGAAGACGAAGCCGACGATGAAGATGCCGAAGACCGTGGACGAGCTCATCGAGTACGTTAATAAGGAAGTCGCCACGTTGTTCGGTTTCAAAACGAAACTGCAGCGGGAGAACATGGTGATGCGTTGGAGCAGGAAACGCAGGGATAGGGTCGACGAGCTGCTCGCGAGAGAGGCTCAAGCCGAGGAGGACGAATGGACCAAGTTTCATCACGATGAACTGGCGGTAAAGAACGGACTCACGATTGCCATATTGGACACCCTTATGATGGAAACAGCAAACGTGGTGAAAACAGCTTATGGTAAGAAGAGGAGGATGATGGTGTAATTTTGTTATTGGTGAAGCAGACGATAAAAAAGAAGCTGTTAAAATATCCTTACAGTCAATGTTTCCTCAGGACTGCGTTTTGAATCCCGCGTTGCTATCATTCACACTTTTAGTACCTTACATGTAATATATAGGCTGGTTCCTATTTATTTGTTGACAATGCAATTTATTGCTTTTTCTCTTTTTTATATCTTAACTGAGCGGACGCGTATGAATGTTTGAATACAGACAAGCCGTGCAAATGCGGGGAAATATATGAATGGCTAAGAGAGAAAGAGAGAGTAAATGTAATTAACATTAATAGACATCTGCAATTCGATAATCAAACGTCCTAGGTCAGTTTTAAAATTTATTTCCTGTTAAGAGCGAGTTTAACGAGTTTCTAGTTTAACGATAATTGTACCTATTCTACTTATTCTACCGTGAGCTATCGTAAGACAATTAATGTAAAGAGTGAAGTTGTGTTGGTTTGTTTCTATGAAAATGATAAATACTCATCATCGAACATTGCGGAGTATTTTGTTCAATTGAATATGCACAGAACGGGAATATCGTCTCCTGTTATGCGAATTCTATATTTTGCTTCTTAATACGTTATCCACTGTTTACACTGTAGTTTATTAAAATTGTAATAATTATTCAGCGCGTGATATTCATGCTCTTCTAGCACTGTAATTGAACAGAATGCTCGATTGCTGTACATAAATCGTAATTTAGCAAAATGTAGAATATAAGTAATAAGGTTTTGATATAAGTCATGTCGAAAAGAAGCAGTCATATGCTCAATTACTTATAATGGAATTAACAAAATTCAAACGGAAAGACTGACGTTTTGGGGCCATTTTGATCGAAATTATAAGCTATTAAATGAAAATATATAAAAAAAGATTGTAGTAAATGTCGGCTAAACAGGGTGAGGCGCATAAGCATTTTATTTGGGAAAATATTTTCTTCCTCTTTTTCTCTCTCTCTTCTCTACCAGTATCTTCGAATAACTGTAATGTTTTATGTGCTTCTCCTGCATATTGGTTTTTTTCGAATTTAAATAAATGCGCGAAAGAATGAGCTTTTTAAATAAAATAATTCAAATGTAGCCCCTATATCACACAGAATACACTCAAGATTGAGTCCTATATATATATAGTCATTATGTTTACCATTATTAATGACATAACTACCTGTAACTTTATTTGTTAATGGACTGATAACCGATCTATACATACCTTTTAGTCTAATCGTGTCTCGCCTTTGATTGACGCGATTCCATCTCACTTAATTTTATGTTTGTGGTTGTGATGTATGTAAAATTGACGGGAATGCGACGGTAGCATAACATGCAAACAGATTCAGTGTCATAAAGCATCGAATGTGCTCCGTCTTGAAATTCCTGTACATTTCAGAGATGTAAATATTACATCGCTCAAGTGCGTCGTCCAGCGTTGTTTACACGAGTAGCATCGCTTTTAATTTTAATTAGAACATAATTTTTATTAATCGCGATATGTGCGAACCGCCCTGAAGAGCCTTCCTCCGTTTGCAGGGTACTCTTTTAGTGTTGTTTATAATTCTCTTTACGTTAGCTGTTCTCAATCGCGTCTGTAATTGTTACAGAGATTGTTCACGTACGTAGTGTTGAATATGTACTTAATTAAGGTATAATATATTTTATAATAAACCTTTTTCGGAAAAGTATCTTTCCATTTTCTACTGCATATAATATGCATTTAAAATAGATAAGAAAAAATTAATATTAACAGTCAATAGTAGTTACAAGATATAAAAACTCGTATAATGATTCATTTAAAATATTAAAATAAATAAAAATTTAATTAGTCGGAGAAATATTGACGAAAGACGGGTTTTCCAAAAAATAGATTACACATATGTAACAGTTTTTACGGTATTATACTATTTTAATAATTCATCCATTCACAAAGCGTACAAGATTTTTTTATAGTTATAAAGTATTCCTGTATTATAATCTGTGGTAAATGGTGACAAATTTTCTCATGTTACTCACGTACAATATCTGCAAATGTATGCTCTCTCTAGGATGAAGAAGTTTGATAATGCCATGTAAGTTCTTTTTGAAAACTAGATATCGACTTTTCATAAATACAAGAAATGAGATGATCAAGAAGCTGATTAATATAATTTATATAGCTGTTCTTTTAATCTAAAATCTAAACATGTAAAAATTAGAAAAGAAATTCAGTAAAACAGAATAAAATTAACAGTTTAAGAATTAATCATATACTTTTATAACACAATAATTGAATTTATATTATCGGAAGATCGAAACAAAATCAGGTAAAGCGTCTTTATTTTGGAAGTACGAGGTATGCAACGAAATATACATCACTCATATAGATTCATAAAACCAATAAAAAATATAAGAAAATATATATTCTATATGTATATATGTATATAATATAATAGCAAGATCGTTCAACGATCCGCTGTTTCAATAATAGAATACGTGAAAATGACTAGATTCGATTTTCAGAAGCAGCTCTCTAATGCTTCATCATCGAGTAAAAGTTTAATGCGCATGCATCGACAGTGTCGGAATATCACACGCATATCAAGCTCAAGCCCGTTAAGTACAAGCATCAGCCAAAAAGCTAACACTCAGTGAGCTCTTGGTCGTGTCTTCCCTCGTCTGCAAAAAAGATCTTGTCTCAAAGTTTTTCGCTAGAGACTGCTGATTATCATCGATCTACAAAGCGCGAGCTCTCCTATATTCTTTTATAGCAGCCTATAACGAATAAAATTGGTATACAGATTAGATTGTTCCATCGAAAATCGTACGGTTTATACTCGTTCGTCATCGCTATCCTATTAGCTATATATGCACGAAACTGACATGATTAATCAGCACCAATGAATGTGTACAAGAAAACATTGATCGCTCGTTATCGATATTTCTTATAGCTGATATCGAAATTCTCGATGCATTCCAACGCGATGAACTAAAGCTCGCGTAATTTCTACAAATCGGTAACGTATACTTCGCGATTTACTGCCTCTTATCCGCGTGTTTCGATCCCTCGCCAGTGTCATCCGTATCCTTCGGATGATCTCTGGAATTTCTGTCTTTAAAATCGCGAGAATGATAATAGTGATTGCTGTCTCTTCGCGAAGCTTGACCCCTGTATTTGCGATTACTGCCGTCGCGACCGTAATTGCGGTACTCGCGCGATCGGTACGATGTCGACTCGAAACTACCCGCTTCCGCGGATTTCACGCTGCCGTTCTGAAGTTGAGGTAAAACGGTCGATTCCGCATCTGTCTGATGATCCTGTTTTTCATGTCGATTTGAGCTATATCTGTAATAATTTACGTACAAAGTTTGATATTTCATATAATAGCCAACATCAAATTTCAAAAATATCTTTCATGACGAATCCAAAGCTTGTAGAAGTAATAAAAATTTGCAAGTCGTACCTCGGTGATCTACGATGCCAGTAACTTGGTATTGGTAACGGCGGAAATTTGCGAGAGTTCTGTTCCTGCGTCGAACTAGTAGGTGAACCACGACTGTGATGACTGTTGTTGCCATCACGAGGACGTCCACCTCTGCTGGAACCGGCATTGTTTGCTGAAGCCGCCCTGAGCGAAGTTATTTCCTTCTTTTGATCCAGATTTTCCTTGTGTAATCGTTTCACCATTGCATAAGATTCCTCCAAGAGCACAACTAAACTTGCTTGCATAGGATCTCCGACTTGAACTCCTACATCTGCCATCTCGATTTTATTCTTCTGGTCTTCGGTCACGTCCAATCTCCTGCGAAAGAAAGAAATGTTAGTTTATGCGTGTATGCATTTTTTTTTCTCCGCGTAGGCAACTAACTGTTTTTGCTGCTCTATGATGTTCGACAAATATTGGTTATGTGTTTTTGCTTCTTGTAATGACGTCTTAATGTCTTGTAAATCTTTCTCTAGAAGCTCCACTTGTAGAGGCGTTACATTGACACATATTGGGCTATTCTGCAATCCAAACATTTGAATTAATTTTAAATACAATGAATATTACCAAATACTTGTAACAATGTTATTACAAGTACCTTTGATTTCGCAAACCCATTTCCATTATCTTCCGGTGAAGAAGGACTGCTAGCCGCACCACAGTGTGCTCTTTTGGAAAATACCAATTGAAATTGTAAATCTGCAAAAGTTTAGAAAATAGATCAGAAGCAAGATACTCCGGGAAAGCAATTATTAATAGTTATCTCAATTACCTCTATTTCTTTGACGCAAGGATTCTATTTCTTGATGTAAGGCAACCAAAGTAGCCTGATGTTGTTCCTGTAAAAACTTCATGTTCTGCTCGAGCTGCGTTACTCTATCTATGTTTAAACCTTGATGCCTAACATGTGCGAATCCATCATTCCTCTCATTTAAGGAAACCAAGTCTGGTGGTGCTTTCTTCCCCTATTATACAAGTAATCACGTAAAGTATATAATTAAAGACTTGCTATCTTTTTATACAAATAAATGTTATCGATAAATTTTATATCTGTGAAAGAATTTGTATGGCTTATAGAAGATAATCATATTGACAAAAAATACAAATATAAATGTATTTTAAGTTAAAAAATATATTCTACGCAATAATCCAAAAACCAACATTTAATATAGAAATGTGAACATCTACTTACTTGAGGAAAGGGCACCGTTGGTAATTTCATCAACACTTTGGATGTCATCTTAAAATAATTAGTCGGCACTGTCTATGCGAGCTTTTGCTATATTCTTGTCTATTTTTTTATTACTCTCGCCAATGGTTTAAGAAATATCTCACAATCAAATAATGCGCCAATCACACAGCCAAGCTTGTTGATGAAACTGAAGCTTCCTCAAGTACTTTATCGTAAACCTAGGAAAAATGTATAATTTTATAATTAGCATCACTTGCAGGACTGATATAAAAATAAAAAAGATATTTCTATCTAAATCACAGAGCAGTTAGTTCGTTTGACCTTGAAAAAATTTACACCGTTCTTCACAATTTTTTTTTAATGTTAATTTATTAACTTTTAAATTTCATAAAGTAATTAAAGAATAAAAACGAACGACAAACACAATAACACTTTATCTCATAAATTAGAGCATTACTGTGCAATGTCTTATTCTTGGACTGAACGCGCTACAAAAATAATACAATCACTATTTTTCATATGACTATCATAAAAATGATGATCGAAAATGATAAAATTCGAAAATACTTCTTTCAGATGTTACAACGCCATGTAAGTGGAGTCTTTTAACACTGCCGAGAACCGATTACGAGAAATTAACGACATCGTGAAAACGTGTGAGAATATTGATGCGTCGCATAGATTATCAAGTGCGCGCCGAGATACTCGAGAAAATTAATAGTGTGCAGATTGAATATTTTACCAAGTATGTTGAGGTTTGCGAAGGGTTCGTAGGACGAAAAGCGGAGAAATTGCGAATGCAGCGAAATCCGAAGGTTGAATGAGAACGTCCTGCGCGCGCATCAAACGTCACCTCATACCACGGATTGATAGGCCGGCAATGTTCGAACATGGCGCACCTTGCAATTCCAGAACTAAATAATTTTCATGCAATTTGTTGTAACGATCACTCTTCTTGCAATCACGCAAATTTATCATTCATAAAACAAACGTTTGATGTACAATTTTATTTTTTAATCGCATTTTCTCGCACCGTTAAAGAAAATTATTAACGATTCTTATCGCGAGCGGCATCCACGTTCGAATATCGCGCTCTTATTTCCGACCGACGAATTGTCCGGCTTCTCCAGGGATGCTCCGACGTATTTTGTACTACGTTCTCAATCTAAAATTATTTCTGCGCACTGTCGATCTATTTTCAACTCGATCGTCAATGTGATGAATCAGTCGTCTAAATTAATCGAGTCACTAATCATCACGGTGCAAATGAACAGCGCAACATTCCCGCTAGCAGAAGTGGGACAGTCGGTGGATGAGTCGACGACGAAGTGCCCGATGAGCACCACCGCTGGCTCGATGTTACACCCCGTTCGTCATGGGTTAACCCACGCTCCGAACCTTGGAAACCGCGGTAGTATTGATCCAAACATGTACAGCCGCGCCCACGCCTTCTCCGATCGTATCACCGTCTAGTCGCCGCTTTCAAACACGCAACAATGAAAGCCCTTAGGCTTAACCTAACGTTTATTTTACATCTTATCACCGGCGCAGCAGAGATGCTCGAATAATTACATGATTCACGTATATGTACAAGGAAATGCAAAAATTTGAAAAAAGAATTGTTCTAATTCATTTCTCGTTCGTTTTTCTAAATTACTTCTCTATAATGTTTTATATCAACTTAAAAATTTGATGTAATATATTTTTCAAATAAAAATTTAATGAAAGCTACAATTGAATGATTAAAAAAATATAATATACATATACTTTATTTGAATTATCATTGTTCTTGATGTTGCACGATCATTGCATCGCGCAATATTTTATATTTATATTGCAAAAATCAGTCTCGATCCAACAAGAAAAAGATATCGATTTTACATAGCTCCAATTTCAGCCTAGTCCGGGAAAGGAACTTATTTCCATCCTATTTTTCGCGTTTCCGTGCAAGGAGTCGTGCTCCAATATCTTGTTTTATATATAAAATTATATTTACCTCCTTTGATATACCCCTCGTTCATGGCACGGTTGAGAGGACACGAATGATCGCACGTAACCACAAACAACTCCTCGAAATACCAAACATAACCAAAGAAGGATGTCAGTCCTTTTGAATCAAACGGAATTCGCATATTTAAACAATAATGAAACAGAAGAAGATCTGTTCCTTTCCGAGGATGAAAATGAAGATTTTAATTTTAAGGTAGATCTCGATGTATGAACATACACGTAACGTTATTCTGCATTTGTATTTATGTCATATTTTTTCAAAGAAAGACAAATATTAATTTTCTTTTTTCCGTTAAAGTATGTACCTGCAAATCGTTTCAAGTACATAGTGAAGGATGTACGTAGACAGAGATGTCGAGAAGAGGAGGAGACAGTATGGGCTTCTTTTGTCAAACAACAAGAATTAAATGTTTATGATAAAAATGATATTCAGCCATCCGTTCAAAGTGTCAAACAACTTTTGGATGAAGGTTTGAAGGAAGCTGATGAGGAACTTAAAAGACTGGAAACAGGTATTTTGTCTGGTAGAATAAGAAAGGAAAGCAGTAGAACTGAAAATAATCAAAAGAAAAAAACAAAGAAGGTATTGATATATATAAACAAATTTTCTATAAAAATAATAAGAAGATATGGATTTTATATATATATACATTGCTAAAATTCACATAATAACAGGTGAATAATACCAGGGACTTGTTTCCGAAAAAAGTGCCAATTATGAAGGATACTGGAACAGGTAGTACCAATTTGCTACTTACGATTCCTGAGGAAGAAAATATTCACGAGAGGAAACAAGAGTCTGAAAAACTCAAGTCACATGCCAGAAAGTCTCGTTCTGCAACAGTGCAGAAGAAACAATCCTCGAAGCTACCGCATCATATGGCCAATGGTGTCGAATATAATTCCAGTCCTGAAAGCAGTGCGCGTCGCAACGATACTGACGGAACTATTTACATACGACCGGATCCATTTACCATGCACAAAATCTTGACGATGCAAACAAGAGTCTGCGAGCTACTGGATGAAATTGCGTTTAGACTGGGAAACATTCCACCACCGGACGGCATTAAAGATTTACAGAGACGGCAGCAGTGCGTTGCTGAATTTGTCGTACGATTTTCGAGAAATTATCTATACGATCTCAATAGATACGTTAAAGATATTCAGAGGCACATGTGTATTATTTCGCCGCGAGCGATAGTAAAACCAAATCATAGAAGTTTCGGACTTCACATGCATGCTATCGAGCATAAACTACTTGCCGCGCATCAGTTACTGTTGCACGCATTAATTGCCTATTGCAAACATATTCCCGGCTCTATTCTCAAGGGACACCCTGGAAAATTTAGAGAGATACTGCAAGTAGTCATTGATCTGAAGACTATGTGTGATAGGCTGCACTTGAATTATCTTAATTCGGGGGACACAGATATTCTATCGCTGGTAATGTTATTTGCTTATATAAATTAGGATATACTTGTAGGATGTATTTGAAAACCATTGCATTTTTTGCACCTTTTTACCAAAAGTGCAAGAAACATTAGATTAAATTCGCTTACAGGTTCTCTAATTACAGGGAAAGGACATTGAGAACAAATCCAATGCTATTTTGTCAAAATTGAAGCTGTATGCGGAAAATGATCTGCGTGACATTAAGACGTCATCAACGTCCGTTAGTTTGCATTCAACAAATAATAAAAAGCGATACAATCGTAAACAATTATCTAATCGATTGAGTATGTACAGTGTGGATAGCAAAGTTCCTAAAAGCAATCCTAAACACAGGACCAGTATGTAAAACTTTTTTGATATCAACAAGTTGAATATATACTTTTTCAGTTTATACAAACTATATGTATCACTTTTTAGATTATTATCAGAAGGATAAAAGATATAATACAATAAATACTAATCAAGGCAGAACCTCTAACGAGCCAATATTGGATCATCCATATCCTAGTCCAGTGACGCTTACACCATCTAAGGATACAAACTATACTGGCACTGACAAGCATAAGACGTATGCAAAAGACGAGGATATAAGAACTATGATGGATATGTTACCTATAGATTCAGATAATGTAAAGAATTTATTATTTACAATATGAAGGATTTATTGTAGCATAAAAGTTTAAATACTTTATTCGTTTCGCAGGGCAGCAACTTTGAAACACAAGAAAGGCATAATAATACAATGCTTACAAGAAGAATACCGAAAGCGACGAGAAAATGTTCTGGCAAGCAGGATCAAAGACAAATAGAAACAATAGAGAATATTGTTAGAAACACTTCTACAAATAACGATGACGAATTAGCGAAAAGAGCGACGACAATCACGGAGGAACATTTATCTAACTTAGTACCAGTTATAGCAGATCTCATGTCTTTTGTCTCCACTAAGGTAAACTGCAATTCCAGTCAGGATCTCTTGTATCAAAAACCAGATTCAATAAATTCATTGATTCTTACAATTCGGTTGTATTGTAAGCATTGCAAATTTATGTAGCAAAGTGAATCAGAGGTAAGGCCAAAACTTACCATGAAAACACTAATGGAATTTCTGCAGAAACATCAGTCGCCTAAGAGCGCGAATACGAAGATCAGCGCGAGTACAAGCTGCGACGTGTGTCATTCTATAAGCAGTAGTTGCGAATGTGAGCATCCTAAAACAAGCAGGTGAATATTCAGATCATGATTATACTTTGCTCTTATAAGATACTTGAAAAATGGAAGAAAATTCAATATTTTGTTTTTGAAGAACTTTGACAGGGAATAACGGCGAGAACATGCGGCTGATTTGCTTGTCATCGATGGAGGATGCGCCAAAAGTACCTCGCTATTGTGACGCGTCGTGTCAAGCAGATTACGAGCGTTTGATGGCAGTGCCAGATTTTGAGATGAAAGTAAGTTACAAACGGCTAACAAAGAATAACTAAAATTTCTGAGACCAAAACACAAGACTGTACGCTAATTAACATCATGTTGAATTCATAGGCGAAGGAAGGAAAACGAATAGTAGACTCGCTCGATAATATCGAGCTTGTTGTTTCCGAGGAGAGTGAAATAAATTTCCTGAAATACAGACGCGAATATGAGCAGTTAATGCAATCAATTCCAATGTATTCTAGCAATACACAAAACAAACCATGGGACATTGTCGCTTGGTAAGTGTAATATAGTTGAAAAAATAGACAACTGATGACTTTACTTTCTACACGATCCTTCTATATGATTTGTAACGAATGTTATTGCTCGCACAGGATATCCGATAAGCTCGTAGATGAATTAATAACGGAAATCGCAAAAGAGTTACAAATAGAAGACGTCATACAAAAACTATTCGAGTTAGAATTCCAGGAGTTCTAACGCCAATCTGTGTTCTTCGCACATATTAAACCAGGAAAATGCACAAAATAAAATCGAAATCTTATATAAATTTAAGATATTTTATATACATAAAAGCTAATTTTGAAAATAAAATATTGATTTTCTAAATATTTTTGTTTCATTAATCTTCGTACATATAAAAGTTATGTTTATATAATCTTCAAATCCTCGAAAATATATATCTATTATTGATAAGAATTGATAAAAATCTATAAAGAAATTATTTTAAAATTTGCGTTGTCTCAAAGTTTAGTTTGCATTAGTTAAATCTGCAAATCTTTATTTTCATATGATAAGCACTTTCAAAGATGGCTCTTACAAAAAAGTTTGGTATATTTTGTACTTCTCAATTATTATCCCCCCCCCCTCTCCTCTTTCTCTTTCTCTTTTTTACATATATATTATACCTATTTTATTTTAACTATAAAAAGTGTAACAGTGCAGTTACAAAGAACAGTTCTTATACGTAATAGTGCATAATGTTCATCAGCTGATCAAGCTGATTTATACGCAGGGTGTTTTTATGTTTATTTTCTTCATTAGACAACAAGCAATATTTTTTAGTATCATGCAACACCGGTTCGAAACGTAATAATATTTCGATTGCATTTGCTCAAGAGTAATTCCGATAAATTGCGATGAGCCGACAAGTTGTTCTGAAGCTTTACAAGGACATTTTGAGGTACGGTGAAACATTGAGGTTCACGAACAAGAAGTACTTCCGATATAAAATACGGACGGCTTTCCGGGATAATAAAGATCTTACCGAAGAGGCGGCGATAAATTTTCAATTGAAGGTAATCACAGTGTTTCCATTGTACAAATGTGTCGCTTATGATCTGTTATCGTTTCTAACCTATAAACTTGAGTCGACAGAATGTACGTTTCGCTTCAATTCTGCATTTATATGGGATTATACCGCGCGTGTAGAAAACACCTGGTTGATTTTTCTTTATTTGTATAATTTTAGTTTTTAATAAAAAAATTAATTTTTCTATCAATATAAAAATTTATTTAACTTTTAAAATTACGATTATATTTTCAACATATTATTTTTACATTTTCTTGTTTCAGAAGGGTGTAAGATTTTTGGAAACTAAAAGAGTGGTGTAAATTGCGTTTCGCTATAACAAGAAACTAAGTATAAAAATAAAAAATGTTGAAAAGATCATTGTCGTTGTGGCTAAATATTCACAATAGAATTCATTGTATGACTAACTGCGATTTCTTTGTATCAAGTGTTATGATTAATAGTGCGTACGTGCAAATTCGCGGTAAATCATTCAAACGTCATCTGGATTATTCTAATGTGCCCAAGCTGGACGAGGCTGATCTTGAAGAACAGTTTATCCGAGGCAGCGGCCCTGGTGGCCAAGCGACAAATAAGACAAACAATGCGGTGCTGTTAAAGCATAAACCTACTGGCCTCGTCGTCAAGTGTCACGAAACAAGAAGCGTATGGGACAACAAGAAACGCGCGCGAGAAATTATGGTAACAAAGCTCGATAACTTACTGAACAAAGAGCACTCCATCGAAGCCCAAATACGTGCTCTTGAAGAAAAACAGCGGGCTCAAAAAGATTATAAGAGAAGAAAACTGGCAGAAATGAAAGCAGCCTTTCGGGAGCGCGAAGACTTGACATAAAACGATTGTTTTTTTGCAAATTTTCTGTAGAATATAAATTTTATCTTTAGAAATACACAGAGGACTTATTCTTAATTAATCTTCTCGATCCTGGCATTCATCGTATTAAACATTATAAAAATTACATTATACCTGAACTTATTCTTACATTTAAGTATATGTAAAATTTATTTTTTCCTACAATAAAAATTAAAGATTAAAAACGTTAAATTGTATTAATCTAATGACAATAAGATTACGTCAGTAATGTCAAAATTATTAATACTGTTTCAAAACTTGATTTTCTGTTTTATGAAATAAAAAAATTTCCATTTTTGAGTAATAATTAACTGGTTGCTCCATAACTTTGCTTTTTTTTTAAATTAGTACTCATATTTGGAATTTCATAATTTGTTGGATCAAAATCAATTGGCACAATTTGATTTAAGGAAACTTTCACGGAGAAAGGTGCAATATAGTGAAACGACTTTTAATGGAAAATTCGTATCTTTAATAATAATAATTTCTCTTTCTGAACTCATGAGCGATTTATAACAGTTTTGCTTGAAATAAAATATTTAGGACGATATATATATAGGGGGAATCAAAAATGTAGAACATTAGTTCTTTCAATAATAGACAACATAATGGAAATGTGTATGTGTTATTACACTGTTATAAAGCTGTATGCAGTCTTGCGTATTCTAAAAATGTAATACACTCTAAATAGAAATAATTATTAAACATGATTTGAACGAAACGTTTGTCTTCAAGATATATAATTTTCGTTCAATGCAAAAAAAGGAGGGAAAAGTAGATAAAAGGAACGATGGATCTAGTAGAAAATAGGACAAAACTATCCCATTTGCAAGAACACATTGACCGCATCTAAAGAATATACACAATAGGATGTACCGGCTGGAGAGCATTAAAACTAATCACCTGAAAGAATGTCACTAAGTAGAACGGTATCACTAGAGAGACAGAGAAAGAGAAGGATAGAATACTATGCGATGTTAAATACTATTCTACATACACAAATAATATTTTTATACACAATGTACACTGCGATGGTGAGATGTGATATCGCAAAACCGATAATCGGCCACCGTCGCTGTAATTTAAGTTGCAGTACAGCCCTCTTTTTTTTCTTCCTTTTCGTCTTCCAGGTCTTCAGCTACTCTTCAATCACCGGTTGAAGTGACCGCGTCCAGACTTGATGCGCTTCTTCGGCGGCTTAGGATTCGACCGCGAAGAGCCGACGGAACTTCTCAAACGCCGGTTGCTCGCCACCGTCACCGACGACAAAATACTGTGATCCACGTCTATCTGATCGTCGAGCTTCATCATTCGCACGACCGGCTGGAATTCGATGCTCGAACGACGTTGCTCGAGTTCAGTGGATGATAATACCGAAGGACTAACGCGGTCCGACAACGTGCACTGATCTATCGTCGATTCGGACAAGTCCTGGATATTGTCCGATGATGATATAGCCTCGCTTTTGCGTTTGACACTGCCGCGCATCCCGGAAGCCGGCGACTGCTTCTTATTACACGATGTAATACTCAAGTAGGCATCTTTTTTACAGTTCTCGTCGTCGTAGACTATTCCGTGATCGGACGACGATAGATTGTTACGGGTAACGGCCGTTCTCGATTGACGTTTCCTGGGATGGCGCTTCCGTGAGCCTATTCGACTGCGCCTCGTCGTGGCGAACACAATACGACGATGCTTCAACAACTCTGCCGTTTCGGATGAGTTCTCTTCGCAATTGCTACCTCGTAATTGACGCTTCGGCGACGACAACTCGGAACTGGGGTTGTGATGCTTCTTAGGAACTATACCGGACTCCGCATCCTTCCTGCACTGCAACTGCAGATTGTCCTGATTCTCAATCTCCGTGTCTCGCGACTCGCAACTGTCGGTGACAGTGACGTGCTCGCGCTGCCGTTGTTTCCTGACGGACGACGGTTTTGCGACTACATTCCTCTCGGTGATCGCGTTCACGACGTCTTTTCTATCGAACGGATT